AATGAAAAGAAGATATAATATAGAAATACCATACGAAAGATGTCGATTAAGGGAAAAGTGTTTTGTGTTACCTTCAAAAGTTCTTTTAGATCATCAAAAGTTTAAAGATTTCCAATATTATTCTCAATTTGAAATGATTGTACAAGAGTTACCTGATAAAGATCCAGTTACCAATAGCAATCAAGTCATTGTTTTTGTCCGACGCTGGTATCCTATAAAATTTCACATTGGTCCACCACAAGAAATCGTATTAGATGAAACGACCTTGAAAGAAATGATGAAAAAAGTAAGTGAACTGAATATCTTGTACATTTCCTAATTACAAAAAACTAATTGGTAATTGAATTTAATAAAATGACTATATTGAATTTTGATTTAGTTATCTTTAATATCGGATATACCTGAAGAATATATAAATATAATAAGAGGGAAAGGTTCAGTACATATGCCTATTGTACGAATTGAGAATGAGGAAGACTGGATTGGATTAACAACTCTTGTTGAATTTAATGTTGAAGATGGTGCTGTGTTCTTATATAGGTATGCATGAAATAATTAAGCTGGTATACACTAAAAGATTACAATGAGATGTCAGAATAGTTGATTCGTAAAATTTATGTCTAACAGAGATAGCAGGGAAACTTCACATCCATTAACCCAAGAAGAGTATGATGAAATCGCAATTCGAGAAGTATCACCTTCTTTACCACTCTCTTCCGCGTCACGTTGTAATGCGCGTAAAGAGAAAGCGCTTAGAATATATTTGGATGGTGAATGATCCTCCATTGAACATACGTTTAATAACACTGAAAAACAATTGTTAAATAGGCATGTGTGGGAGCATGAAACGTTTGCGTACAAAGTGATTAAATCGTGTCAGGTATTTGTGGAATTAAGTACTCAACAATTACAAAATATTCTGTGCTTCAGTAAGTCTTCAATATTTCAAAGCTTCCGCATCTCTAAAGCCTTTTGGCTCTTGGAATCGATCGGATTCGTAAAATTCTTCGACTTTGTGAAACACTACGCGTTACCAAGGGATTTCAGACCTCGATTATCTCGTTTCGTTTTAATGTGTTTCGAGATCATAAGGATCATGATACTCCCAATAACGTACGGATTACTGACTTATAGAATCTCATTCAAGAGCACAAATACTGATGAAAATAATGCAAGTGCTGACTAAGAATGAATTAGAAGAAAGGAAGAAAGGGGGGGGGAGGGAGAAAATTGAATTGCTTGGTGATAATCCGAATTTACACTATGAACTTCTTACAATATGTGTGTGTGTAACTGACGTACATATAATTGGAGTTCCTGCAGCTACATTATTTTCACAAATTCCTTGATATATTTCTTAATCCTAAGAATTTTGATATCTTCACATATCTGTATCAAAACGTTTTAGCTAATCGTCTTGTTTAAAGATGTTATAGATTTTTAATGTCGAAATGCAGCACAGAGTATATTCATTTGTTGATAAAAAAAGAGAAAAAAACATTTATCTGACACAACAATAATTAACCCTTTTAATGCCAGTATAGGTTAAATCGCATTCTTATAATATAATAATATCATAAGTCCTGAGTTCAATCATTTAATTTGGTAGTTGTAGCGCTTGGATTTCGTTAGAAATTACTACTTCGAAACAACATTATGCATGCTATTGTTTTGAATGAATCAGCAGATACGTTTTATGAGATTTATTGATAATTGGTAATAGAATTTTACATTTCATAATACTTATTATTTACACATAGATTTGACGCTATTACTATCAAGTTAAAAAAAGATTTATCAATATGAACATAGAGATCAATTTTGGCCAGGCATGTTATCCTATACAGTCTATTTTAATTTATTTAATTATGTATGTTTATCATTCATTACACGTTATTGATACGTGGAAATTTGTACCACTAGAAAAAAACCAAAAAAGAACATTTAGCCATTTTTTGGCAATTGCTGCTATTTCCTACGAATCGAGTTTTGAATATAATGAAAATAAAAGATTTTCTCTTGGAAGGAAGTTCACCAAATTTACATTTTGTAGACCAATGCTTGTAAATAATAAAACTTATGAATCAAATATTGATATCTTTCTTCATATCAATATCACCATACATAAACAGAAATATATAAATATATATATAAATATATACATATAAAAAATATGTTTTGTATTAAAATGTATGATAATGCAATGCATATACATAGCACATCATCCTTTTTGCATTTATCACCAGTTCAACTTGGCATTTTTTTGCTAATTCCACACTATTAGAAAATTTTTGGTGCTGAAAGGGTTAAATACAAAGTTGTTGTTACTCCCTGTCACTATTAGAACGTTTTGATAGACTGTCTAAGACTTATCTATATTATTTCTTTGCAATTGTTTCACCATACGAAGTGAGTGCATTGAATTATTTAATCAACAATCGAGAGATACTGAAAATTCTATAAATTAAAAAACAGGAGGAATTTATATAGTATAGATATGTATTACCTTTGAAATATACTGATATCGATTGTTGTATGACAATTTTACAATGCTCTCACAATTTTCAACGTATAGCTGTAATTTATATTTATGATATATTTGTTACATGAAAGCCTAGTTCAAATTGTTCGTGTATGGTCATACGATAACTTGTTATAAACATGACAATCTAGATGTTTATAGAGTAATTAAAACACAAACAAAAAAAGTTGTAAGTTCAATGCTATGAAAATCTTGTTGATGGATATCATTATAATAATTGAAGAATTTATCTATTTCTTATTAATTGTATTTCAATTTATTAAATTTAAGATAATTTATCATTTCATTATAAACATTTAAAATTTTAGTAATTTTAGTAAGGCAATTGTATTTATCGATATCTGTAAGAAAGGAAGAAATGATAAATATTATTTCTTTCCTATCATATCATGTAAAGAAATTTTAAACAGTAGGAAATTGGAAAAGTTGAAAATGGAAATTAATTAAAAAACCTAAACTTAAAAAATTATCTTTCATATAGTTTTATAGTCTTTTGTTTAATAATTGATTACATGTTTGTCATTACTACTTAATATATTCTAGTTTTATATTATCTCACATCTATAATTATTTGTAATTTAACGAACTAGGCTTTGGTATTGTTTAATGATTGTTTTTGTAATTACCAAATATTGAAACAGTGTCCTTTGTGCATAATAGTGGGTATGTGCGAATAATAAATTTGGAAATTTATAAAATTGCTGGGAAATTTTTGAAAAAGAACTTATGCATTCTCTGCAATCCTTAAACTGATATTTTTATATTTATTTGTACCAATTTAACGAATCGTTTGTAAGGCCTTAAGATTCAATTAATGAATTTGAAATTCTTTTTTTTCGTTTAGATGGTTCGAGTGTTATTAAATTAATACTTTTCAAACTTTCTTCGCGAACAAAAAGGAATGTCTTTTCGTTATTGTAAGATAAGACTATATTTAATATTTCGCTAATTTTTCGCGATATTTGCGTGTACCTACTACTATCTTAAGTATCTTTTTAAATATTTAAATTGGACGTGAGTATTTCTCTGTCTTTTTGGTAATAGTTTGAAACATTTAAAATATTTACGTATATTTATGTTAGTGGAGGAGTATAAAAACGACGTTGAAGAATCATATTATATCCTTTTTGCGGATAAGTTCAACGCTCGATAATTGTAGCGCGCGGACTTTACAAGTTACGATTGTAGTTTCTATCGAATTCTTTTCATCATCGACAATTCGAATATTGTTCTTTGTATCATACACTATGATTACGAAATCAAATTATTATTTATAATTATTAATAATTGAATACCGAAGTGACTGAATTTTGTTTTTTGAATTTTACCGATGTTTCCTCTTTATCTCAGCCGATTGTTACATTCATTCATCTTTAATATGCTTTCTTTGCGTGAATCGTTTGAAATGGACTGAATAAATAGTACGTTGAATCTATTTTCTTCGATTTAAGCTTTGTTTATTTTATGTAACATCTAACTATATATATAAGTCGATAAATAAACCTAACCCCCTTAACGATAATAAGTCGATCATTTTGATGATAAAATCGCAAATTCATATGTCGGAGAAGAGTCAGGAACAGGGTTGTGGGCGTTTGATAGACCTCCCTTGGAGTCGGCCATCGTTGTGTTAGAACGACGATACAGCCTGACACTACGAGTATGGACACTACCGATTCGACAATCAACAGCGGTGATTGGGCACTTGCGATGTTAGTGACGTTGGTCTTAGGTTCGATGACGAATCCACGGTCAACGGGATGAAAGATATACTTGCTCTAACTCAAACGTGTACTGATCGTAAGGCACTGCTCCCTTCGTCGATGGGATCTCAAGGAAGAATGAATTTTCGTCCCAATAATGCCACAGAGGAAAATTATGACGGGGTCTGTCTAAGGATACGAGATATATAGTATAGCCCTCGTTCCGAAAGTAAGGGAAGTTGACGTTGCTGTCAATTGGTCAATTTGGGACAAAGACTGTCTATCCGTTTGGAAAATCTTAATTGCCGGAAGTAGCCAGGTTTTATAGCGGGTCCTCGGGCTAACTGGACTTGTGCTGTATACGTGACTCAACAGCAGATATTCATTGTCCGAAGAAACCATTGACATGTTTTACTGTCAGATACCTGTATGAGTATTTCCTTTAATGAGGGTCATACTATCGCTCCATACCTTTGTTAGATGAAGCGCTCGTCCCGTTGACCGCGGCTACGTTCGGCTCAAATCGCAAACAAGTACAATTGGGCAGGATTTTCCCGAAGTTCAAGAAGGAAGGCTTCAGTGTCCTTTCATTTCCGACATATATTTTCCTTCCTTTTTTTAATGAAAAAGATTCTCTTTTATAAAGTGGTTAAATAAAAATCTTGTTTTGTAACTTTATTAGCAATTTTATAAGCTATTATTTAATTCTGATTGATTAAAAAAATATTTATTATTTACATGATGATTTTATGATATATGAATCTAAAGAAATTTTTCGCCCATTTTCATTTTCATGCTTGCCAACATATGTATGTGGCCAAAATCTTTAGAAACATCAAACAGTGAAGTGAAACGTAAACCTTGACTTTGAATGTTTCCTTAAAATTTTTGTGCGGATAAACAGAAATTTATACTTGTTTTTATTTCATGCAAAATATGGTATACTTACACTTCCCTTCGAATTTAACAGAAGAAGAATTGATGTTGCAAGCGAAATATAATAAGCTTAAAAGAAAGGTACAGGTTATGTTTACACATTTTAATATTGTAATAAATATTTTAATTTTTAATACTACGAATTAATTATTTATGTATTTGCATGATTAGAATAAATCGTATTTAAATTACTTGATTTTTTATTTTAATTTAATTTTATTTTAGTAAATTTTATTTTATGATGGGAAGTTACTGATATGTTTACAGGTTATGTTTTTGGTTTTTGTTATTTTCTGTGTAATTTTTATGTATTTTATATTAATATTTTTATAGAAAAAGGCATTGCAAGATTTGAAAGCACCAAAGCAAGAAGCTGAACGAATACCACAAGCTCCAAAGCGACCAACAGAAGCTAGAGATGCCAGGGAAGTTGCCAAGAAATTGATAAAATCTGGAGTAATTACTGCTCCAAAAACTCCTAAACGGCCAGAACAATCTTTTAAAAGACCACGTGGTTTAGTAAGAAAATTAAACAGTACAGAAAAGACGGTGAGCTCATATCAACCATTCTCAGCCACACAAATGGAGGAAGAAGAAACAGAAGCAGTAAGGCCAAGAGTTAAAGATTTGTACGATAGTTTTGTGAGTGCTCAAGACCCAGAGGATCGTACTAGCAGAGATATTCAACCACCATCTAAGCAAGAAATGAAGCCACGAGCTGGAAATACAATATTTGTATGTGGTTACAAGATATCGGAAGATTTTTTAAAAAAGCATTTTCAAACATTTGGAAATATTATAAATATCTCGATGGAAACAGAAAAAAAGTAATTAATATTAATTCCAGATATTTTATCCTATTTGAAAGTTTAAATTTGTATTATTTGTATTATTTATTTTATTTACTTTTTAGCCGTGGATTTGTTACGTTTGATAAAACGGAAGCTGCTGAAAGAGCAATTAGCGAAATGGATGGCAGTATGGTGTCTTCTATTCAGTTGAAAGTATCACTGGCACGAAGACAACCCATAATAGAAGCTATGACTGATGCTACATCTAGTTCCATGTGGTCGCCGATTGCGGCGAATTATTCACAGAAAAGTGCACACAAAGATAGGAGAGATTTAATAGTGTACGAGGAAGATCTTTTTGTGTGAACGCAATATTTTTTAATTTTTCTATGTTTCCTTAGAGTCTATTGTTGTTACAGTATATGGAATCTTACTTTAAAATAAAATTGTACATAGCCTGTAATGTTCATAAGGTATCAAAAAATATTTTCTTCAAATCATGCATCTTGACTGTTATGATGCGGCGCTCATATTGTATATTCGTATCTAGTCAAATGGTTAGACAAGGCATGAAAAACTTTATTTTATTTTCTTTCACGTATTATACTTTGTCGATCGATGAGTTTTAGATGATATTTCGTATTTGATCTTTTTCTACAAGTCTCTGAGTCGATAAAAAAATAGTCGTTGCAAAATTTATTTTTGGTAATAAGTATCTGTAATTGAATTATACATATACACATACATGATATATATGTATGTATATACATTGTATTTATACATATTCATTGCTTAAGAAATTAAATACAAGTATTTTCATAGCAAATTATGGTAGGTGTTATTTCTTTCACATGTATCATTTAACATAATGAATATTTGCCTGGGAAAAGTTGATCAGTCATTTGATTGGCTATAACTCATACATATTTGTCCAACACATAACAAGCGTTCAACAATTAACTATAGAGTACAAACCTAACTACTTAATTGCATGACCAAATCTTCATTGTCTTTAAATACGTGTACTTATTACTCTACTGTAAGTATTAGGTCTATTCTCTTATTCCTTATCGATCGTAAAAATAGAATGCCCATTATGCGTATATAAAATCACTTTGCAACGGACAATTGAAACAAACATAATAGCATAGATTCTATTTGTAGATAGTCTTCTTACACCATCTGTACCTTATTATTTTGGTGGGTTAAAATAGTCCCAATGATGATGATGCGTAACTGTTCTAGGGTTGCTGAAGAAGAATATCAATAAGCCAGCAACCAGAAGCAACAATGCACACAGCGTTAGTTCCACTTCTCTGATCTTCTCTCTCGACTCCTCTCCCACCATAGATGACATATATCCCACAAAATGTCTCATAACTTTTAAACCAGCTAATCGAAGAACTCTGACCAATTGCCTGGTACTGTCTGCAATACTCGGTTCTGTGTCAAGGCTAGGATTGGCCAAGGATAAAAATTGTGAGGGAACTTGTGAAGCTGGAAACGCTATGAGATGAGTACCTCCTATAGGGAAGGGAGGAATTGGCGATTGGGACGATTCTCTTTGACTTTCTCTGTCCGACTGATCTGTGTATGAAGTGTAAGAAATTACAGCACGTTGCGGCTGCATCTCGTTGGTAATGCCGTGACTCACGATACTGTCTGGTGTGTCCGGAGTCACAGAGATGGCAGGTGGTAGTGATCTAACTGGAGAAGCAGTCTGTCGTGTTCTAGGGATACCTATTGGAGATGGCGACCTGGACCTTGACTTTCGTATTTTCCATTCGCTGATTTCTGGCGAAGTCTCTTTGTCCTTTTCCTGTGACGTCAAAAATTCTTGTGACTCTGAAGGTTTAGAGTCGAAGGTGGGGTCCATTGGATCGTTGCTAGTTTCGGACAAGAGATCCAGAGACACCCTGGGCTCCGTGCTCTCTCCCATGGCGGTCGCTATGGATGGGGGAAGGGACACGCGGGATTCTTCCATGTTGGACTCCTTAGTAGTATCCGGGCTCAATGAAAGAGAGGTTTCTGTATCTAGAATTCGTAAGGACTTATCTTCAGTACCCTGACCAACTAGTAATGTTTGTGTGCTAGGAGTATCTTTGTCACTCGGTACTACTTGCGAAATTGCTAGGGTGTGTGTCGACTCTTTGTCCTCTACCTGCGCGACCGATAGTGTATGTGTGCTTGATGTATCCTTTGCTTTTTTTCTAACAACCTTTTGATCCTCGCTCTTTGGTTTCTCTTCCTCTGCATCTCCACAAACTGACTCTTCTTCAGGCTTCCTTTCGACGCTCCGCCTCTGTGCAACGGGAATGTCTGTCTTCGCCTCAATCGTTTTGCTCTCTTCCTTTTGACCCTGAACCCTGGATGCAGCCACAGTCTCCAAATGGCTTCTTATAGCCATCAACTCCCTAATAATAGAAGGAGACAGACTCTCCTCCATGCTGCCACCTATGTTCTTCAACTCAGACGCAGTAACGACCAATGCATCCACTTCAGATGCAACGATTTTACCAGCTTCAATTTGGGAAACGCTCAGACGATCCACTCTTAGGTCAGCAACTTCTAGATTGGTGATCCTCACAGGTTCATCTGAAAACAGGGCGGATCTAATGGACTTTAAATGCGTGTCTTCGTCGCTATGAATCGGTTCACCTAGATGTGGCGCGGATAAGTGTTTGTCCTCAAAAGCTTCCATTTCTCTAGTTGGAGATGGAGATTTTAATGAGACAGTATCGTATGAAGGTTCTGGTTGTTCATCCTTACGTAGTCTTTGAGACGTTGGTAAAGGAGGAACAGGTGGTGTGCTCATACTTGATGGACTGGGTATTCTCTCTGTGGATACCATAATCTGGGAGCCTGAGCTAGATGGTGCTACAAGTAGCTTTGCCTGTGTTACTTCTTCCTCTATCACCATGTCATCAGGTAAGGGATCTGTCTGCGTGGCAGTGGTCGTTTCCATAGCAATTTCCTGTTGTATCTCACGAGTGGATCTTTCTATAGATCTATCTTTTCTAGATCTTGGTGGTCTAGGTGGAGCTGGCAGTGGTCGTCCCTGCATTTTACTCAGAACTTCACTGCTACGGAGGTTTTTGTGTTCTCCATCATCGGAGTCGATTTCTATGTATGGAGTAGACTCAGTTTCTTGCAGGGTCATATCATAAGTATCGTCAGTTAATATATTAGTCTCCTTAGACCTAGCTGGGCCAAGAGTACTGTACGCTCTTTGGGGACGTTTAGGAGGAACAGATCTGGGAGTAGTAGCAAACTTGTCCCTCTTTCTCCTCGGAGGAGGAGGTCTAGGTGGCTTCTCTCGTTTTTCTATAATGGCATAACCTATTAATTCTCTTCCTAGATCAAGGTCATCTCGTGGAATATCCTCCTCCACATAACCAGCTTCTGGCAATGACTCTGCACCATGAGATGTCCTATCTTCATCAAGTGCTACAGAAGTTCCCCTAGACCTAGATCTTCTTTTTGGTGGTATAGGCGCTGGCTCCACATATTGTTCTCCTTGAAGCCTCGTTCCAAGCTTCTGAATATTCTCTTCACTCGTTGTCATAATTTCTTCAACTGTGTATACTTCTTGTTTCTCTAATTGTTCTGTGGTCATTGTAGGTGGTAATGGAAGAGGTTTCTCAGGGGCAGAATCACTGGTCCAATCGGTGTGTCCATTGCAAATAGGTTCTATTTCGTCATTTCTACGCTCAAGTTCCTTACGCAATCGTTTCCGTCGAGTTGGTGCCACTGGCGTTGGTGATGGTGGATGTGGAGTATCCACAGGAAGTTGTGATCGACTGCGTTGTAAGGATTTCGATTTTCTACGCATAGGCTTCACTACTACAATATCGTCCAACGGTTCAATTGGAAGTTTCGCAGGTTCTCCTTCTGTCTGGTAGACTATCCTGTGTCTGGAGTCGCTACTGCTTTGATCACGGACCTGTTCATCCGTAGATTCGCTCCGATGAACCTTGTTTGAATCCCTTTTTGGCCTGACTGGTGGCATTACATCATATGACTCCACGGAACCTTCTTTTTGCTTTCTTATTGACCTCTTTCTCATGGGAGGAATTGGTACCATGTCGTCATTGGCTAAAACATTTCCTTCTGTTCTCAAAACATCTCTGATTTCACTATTTAAATATTTACCAAGAGTCATGTCATCCTGACTGAGTCCACGTTCTCGTAGGAAGAACTCGTCGGAATCAATTTCTTCAATAACCCCATGTCGACGTCGATCACAGGAGCTGGCACTCGAATGTTGTTGTTCTCTATCCGATTGAGCGGATGATGGTTCAGGTTCCTCGTCTTCATCCATGTCTTCTTCGTATTCTTCTTCTTCGGATGGTGTCTTGTGTACTCCATATCTTCTTGGATCCATCATCGCAAAAGATCCTTCATAACCTTCTTGCCTGGCTCGAAGAACCTCTTCTAAGGACCTGGATCTTGGAATAGATCTGAATTGCTTTTTAGGTATCTTTTCCTCTGGTCTCCATTCTTCTTGATCTTCTTCCACATCTTCTTCTCTAGCATCGCGTTGATATATTTCCTTTTCAGTTGGATACAATATCAGATCTGACTCTGGTCTATCTCTGTTATACGATTCTTCTTCTGTCCTGGAAGTTTCTGACCTTGGATGTGGCTGACGATCAGAAATTTCTGGGGATTCCTGTTCATAATCCATATATTGAAACTCTTCCTCCCTGTGTTTCTCTTCCCAGGGTATCGTGACTGCTCCTTCTTCGCTCATAGACAATCTAGGCATCTCTATGGAAGGGTGTCGCCAAGGTTGAGCCCTTTCTGCCGCAGATTCTTCATTCGATTGGTCCTCGTCGCCAAAAGCAGTAGTCTTGTTAAATCTCTGAGTCCATCTGTCGGTTCTTTTACGTGTCCGTGGAAACGTAGCACTCTCTGCTGACTGTGCCCTCGAATCTTTTGGCGTAGAGGTCGCGTATTCGCCTCTGCTCTTTGATTTTTTATCGAATATCCGCGGATAAGTAGGAAAGTCGAAAATATTCTTCTTGGAGCCCATCGTGGAATCTGTAGATCGCTGTTCGTGAACAGGGGATTTCTTGCGAGTCAGAGCGTTAGGTAGTCGAATGTTAGGCTTCTTGATATTGAACTTTGCTTTTTCAGGTAGATGGAATTTTGCCTTTTCAGGAAAATTGAATTTCGGTCGTTCGGGTAAATGAAACTTTGATTTGTCTGGCAAGGATAACCTCGGACGATCAGGTAAGCTAAATCTAGGTCTTTCTGAGAAGGAAGATCGTATTCTATCCATTCGACTGGGTCTCTTATCGGATCTGGACCTGTCCGAGCGACCGCTGCTTGTCGTCCTGGCCTTGTCTTGCTTTTGTCGCTCAGTGAAGGCGAACGTGGGTCGTTGCATGTTTCTCAGACGGGAACGTAGCTTGCTAGCCTGCGTTTTTAGACGTTGAGGCAAGCCGCGAGCACCGCGACGGAGAGGAAGTTCCTCCAATGCCAATGAGTCTACCTGAAATAAAAAGATTGGTATGCTTAATTCGTCAAGCGATCGAATGGCTCTTTCACGTGAGGATCGAGATTGAA